AAATCAATTAGAGATTACTCTTTGGCCGGAACTCAACTTAAAAAGGTCACTGAATAAAGAGTAATAAAGTAATAGAAAGTACCTAAGTATTTTGCAGTATCGGTAAAATATGTTGAATTTTTGAATAGAATCGTCTATTATCAGAAAACTTTAGCTATACCTCTATATGGATGCTTTTATTATTTTTAAATCGATAGCTGAACTTATTAAAATTCCTGCACGAAAGCGCATCGCTTTCTCGAACGGTACAACGGTCGAGTGCAGTGCTTTCAAACCAGTTTTAGAGCAGTAACGGCTCAGGGGGACATTTCGATATAAAGCCATCGTAGACTTGTGTACAGTCTATTCATATTTACTATGTTTAAATGAAATTGATCTCGTTAAATAGAGACTCTTCGACAAAGCGCAATGAACCGTAGCGCTAATGGGCGACAGGATGTGCAGAATATCTGTAACTAAAGCTTAACCGAGCTCCAGTTGCCTTGGCGACGGGCAACGCCCACGTCTCAGACTTATCTCCTCTCAGTAAGTACACATTGTGTAACATCCAACTCATTAGCATATATGCTACAACGTCGACCATATGGCAAGAAACGAATGACGAATCGATTTACATAACAAAAATGTTCGTTTATCGCAATAGTCGAATACAGTTTAAATATGACTAGCTTATAGCCGTTTACGTAATCATGAAAACAAAGTTTAGTCAAAAGAAGTACTAGTAGCTTAGCGACTGTTCGGCGGGCATTAAAATTCATTGTACATGTTCTTGAGAGGCAACGGTATGATGTCATCCGTCTGTAGGCGAGCTGTGTGGGTACGGCGACGCGACATCGCCTTATAAGACTAAATGACTAACATGGACATCGGCTTTTAGTTCAGGGTTTCGATAAATAAATATTTAAAAGACTACTTGACAAGATTGTTTACATAAAGCCCAAGTACATTTTACATTTTGGCATATCTGATTTAATGTATATTCTTTGATGCTATAAAACGTACCTGTCAATTTGACGTTTTAATATTTATTATCTACAGGAGATTAAATTGCTAATGTCAAAAATGAGACAAAAAACATGACAGCGAAATGAGTTTTTAAATAATAACAAAAAGTGAAAGGCGATTGGTGTAATGGTGGAGGGAAAGGTGACTTTCCTTGTAACTAGATGAAACGCAGACATGAAAGTTGCGTGAGAAACATCAGTAACAATGAACAGAGAGAAAAAAGATGGGATAAGACGACCCGCATCAGCGGATGACACAAAAATACTTCTCTGATTATATTATTACTTTTAAAAGATTATAGAAATCTCAAATAAAAAACTAAGGAAGTGGAGAAAAAGTCTATGCAAATGGTTACATTTTAATTTGACTTTTGTACTGTTCTTTAAGGTTTGTTAAGCTTAGAGAACTACACTTTAAATATTTTCAAGTTAGAAATGTAAGCTAGATTTAGTGCGTATATTCGTAAAGTCGGCCAATCGTTGGTTAGAATTATCTTTAGTCTCTGCTGCAGTTCTACGAATATAACTTGCAACCTCTCAGACGGACTTCTTAGTCTAAATTAGAATATCTCTGGAGAGTGCCACTTTGCGCTATGGCAGCCCAATGGTGGTTATTTATAATTCTCGGTCGACGACCGTCGGTTCAACGGCCCCTCTAATCTATCCTGTAACTTAGTTAATAAGAACACTCGTAAAAATATGATAAGATAACTACAGATTCAGCAAATATACAAAAACACAGTTTTCTCTATAATATTTCTAAAAATAAAATACTCTCTCCCTTTATTTAGCTTAAAACGATTAAAATTTAAATCAACAGAACACATAATCAACATATTTAATTACTTTTTTAAAGTATCGATCTGGCATAATAACATTTACCTTTGACACACTGTAAAAAAAATAAACGTCAAATCAATTCACCTATTAAATTCGCGCGTAAAATCAACAGAGTAGAAAAAAAGTTGAGGTCATCGCCGGTTTTTACTCTATTGTTTCGTTCGTGAAGTACAATCATACGGTGAAATTGGCCGTGCAGGCGTGCCCTCTATTTTATAGTGCTCTGTTCTCAAAATTTAATTCAATAGAAAACGCCGTACATAATTTTATTGCTCAAAACATAATTGCCGTATGAATTTCGAGCGTAAAATGCAGTCTATCTCTTTCACACGTTGACATTCCAAAGTCGTTTTATATGTGAGTCACGATGTTAGAGCATTTCATGTCTTAGCATTTTTTCTTAGTAATATATCACGGAATGCATGTTTTGATTATTTAGGTCATAAACCTATATAATGCAACTGAAACAGCAAAGTACAATCAAATTTATGTTTATTAAAATAAACCCATTAAATGGACGTTTAAGTAATTTATATTGTAATGATTTCGATCTACAAAGTTCCACTAAGATGCCATTACAAGATAATAGGAAAAGTAACTCAATTATGTTGTCCGTAGATTTGTATCTAGACATCCAATAGAGCGGATGCAAAGAAAATTGCAAGCAATTAATTCTAGACAATTTCACCGCCAGGTTCGATAGGAAAGTTGATAATTATTCAGTTTCTAACAACTAGGTCGGTGCTGTATCGATATTTAACGTGAGAACTGAGAAATCAGCCGTCCATAGACATTATTCTTTTTTTTAATTTGCCAAACTGACGTAAGACAAACGCGAGGAAAACAAGTTTTGTTAAAATTGTATTAAACCACTATTATTATCACATTAATAAATGCTTATAAGGAAAACAAGTCCGTTTAGGTATTAATTGTAATGAACAACTTCGCTTAATCATTTTTCTATAAATACATATGATGTCATGCTTTAGGGGTATGACAAATGGTTGTTTTTTTTCTCTGGCTGACTGAGCATGCGCGGGAACGAAGGGTTGGTTGTTGACATGACAGCGCGCGAGAGAAAAATTTGAATTTCGAATTCTATTTTTTGACAATGAATGAGTCTATGCAGTAAAGAAGTATCGCTTATAATTTGGTCAAAGAATATAATAATTTGACGTTCCGTCGATGTTTATGTTTTAGTGAATGCATGTAAAATGTAATTTCTAGTGAATTCCATGATTATGATAGATACAAACCGTTACTCGTACTTGGGCACATACTTTGTACAACCGGCGAATTGTGTTGTTAATTTGTTAGACCACATATTGATACTTACTTTAGCTCCGATCTGGTTGCCGCATTGGCCGGCCTGGATGTGCACGATTTCCCTCATATTTGTATTTAAATTTGAAATAAATTACTTTACTTAAACACTAGACACACGTCTCTCGCGGCACTGCTCGCAGATTTGATCGGTGCTGGAGCTCGGTGGGGTATTTTGAGGCCGCGCGCGCCTCCGCTCGGAGCCTGCAACTAGCCTCCTGATTGGTGGAGGCGATTGCGGCCAACTTCACTGCATTACGTATACCTTATCACATCGAAATGGAGAGATTTCTGCTCCTCTATATATGGATATGTGTTACTACTGCATTATTATTTTTATCTCCCTTTAATGCGGCTCGCTACTGAGGGTTGCATTCAATTAGTCTTTTTTGTTTTGTATTTTTATTTGGCTCCTTTTTGCATGTATCATCCACTGTGCGTTCATGCTAATATTTATAGAAGTTTAACAAACGGTTTATTTCATTATACTGAGTGCTCACACCCTTCGATTTACACTTTGCGTGACTATATTGGTTAGTTTTATTACAATGAAAGGTGTTTCCATACAAAAACTACTCATGTGTTAAATTAGAACAATTTTTATAACCAGCCAGTCACACCAGATACTTTTATTTTACTTTTTAAATTGACGAAACCAGCCAGTATTTTGCAACGTAAAATATTTTACTCTAACTAGGTAATTCGTCAGCGATTTTCATCAAAGCCATTTAAAGATTCCTTGATGTGATTTTTGAAGCATTTGTTATTTTAGGTTTTTTTTTAATTTCGCCCGGATGAAGTCACGGGCACAAGGTATTTCACAGTTCACAAGGCAAATGTCTCGGGGCGTTCTATCTGTGCATCAATTGTCAAAATATTAAGGTCACGGCCATTGAATACAATGCAAAATTGCAGACTACACTCGTAAATCAACGATACTTGTGTTCAATATATAGTTATTTCAATTATAACATGAATACGAATTTTCGAATTATAAATTCATGAACGCTATATACATAAATCTTGCGTGACGCAATAATAAAGAAAATTATAAAACAGCTACTTGCTCGCGACTTCGCCCGCGTGAACTTAAAAAATATAGCTTATGTTACTCATAGATTAATTACCTTTCTAATGGTGAAAGATTTTTTTAAATCAGGCCAGTAGTTTTTGAGTTAATGCAATACATACAAAAATCTAAAATTACATCTCTTTCCTATAATACTACCATAGATATATAAAGGTAACGTAAAGTATTTCATAGTCATCTGAATTCAAAACAGTATGATTTTGTAATTTTATTATATTTGGATTAATTCACAATACGAATGTCGATTGAATTTCCTGCAATTTAATTATTTGTAATACTGCAGATTGCATTGCACCGCATTGCAGTATTTCTGCAGCAGGAATGTTCCAGACTTCAATATTGAATTTGTAAGAGCGGGCAACATCGACGGTGCGCGCTCCTTTTCGACGGGCGGCCATGTTCCTTTTTCTAATAACGTTAAAAGTTTTTTAGGTTGGTTATTATGTAGCCTAATGTGGCGGAAATGCGAATGTTAAGATGGATGTGAGGTAACTCGATTGGATAGGAAACAAAATGAGTATATTAGAGGAAGTTTGGGAGGAGCCACCGTGGTAGAGAAGATAAGGAGATGAGAGAGAGAAGGGATGAATCGCATGTAACAAGAAGGACGTTAGTTATGAATATACCGGTAGAGGTACACCTAGAAAGAGATGTATGGATTGCATGAAAGGAGACATGATCAAAAAGGGAGTGATGACTGAGATGACGTATGATAGAGTTATTTGGAGGACGAAAACCCGGTGCCCCGACCCTACGGGAGCAGGATAAGGCAGGGGAGATAATGATGATGGTATTATGTTGTTTAATGTTGATTTTGCGCACGAGATGTATTGTGTCCCTTCTTTTGTTCAGATAAACGAGACAAAAATCTATGCATAAAATACATGAAACTTCTCATTTTTATACCCCAACTGGGAATTTATATCTACTACTGGGTCTTTTTATTTTTATTGAAAATTCCATGTTGCTATAGCCTATAACCTATACGCTGTAAAAATATAAAATCATTTTCTTATCTATGGTTTTACAAATGTAAACGAGAGTTATTTTTATTTTGGTACTCAGTTATTATAACATAAGCAATTATTTCTGTGCATTTAAAGTTTTTATTTAATCGAGGAAAAAAGTTGACCTATTTATGCACTATGTTACTTTAAACTAATACTTCGAAAAATGTTTCTAAGAATGGTGTACGGACCAAAACAACTAATCCTTGACATAATGTTATTTTTCCTCTTAAATGAATAATTACAAGCTTTAAGACTTAGAGCCTAATTAGTCAAATGATGTAAACAAAATAGTTTTGCAAGTTCACGTGTAAACTAGAAAAAATATTTCATTCTCTTCAATAAAGATAATAAAAACAATTTGAAACGTACAATGAACCGTAACTATCCAACTCCCATATTAAGAAAGTATTTATTTAATACTACCTTTCGCCCGTGAATCCGTCCGCGTGGAATTAAAAAAAAACTGAGTAGCTTATGTGTTCTTCCAGATTATCCTCTACGTCTATGCCAAATTTAGGCTACAAACTCTAACAAACATTCATCCATCCATCTAAACTTTTGCATTTATAATATTAGTATGAAAAATAACTTATGAACAGAAAACAACAGAGAAAGAAAAATCCCGTTTTAACCTTGATTTATGACCTTTGAGGTAAAGATTAGGAGCGCCATAAACAACAAACTTTTTATGATTATTTGCAAATGGCGGCTGGGCTAATAGCAGGACGCCATTTTGTGTCATACGAAATTTTCTTTACACAAGTGTTATTAGCTATATTAATTAAAACTTGTATTATATTATTGGAAACAAAAGCTTTGAGTTCGTAAATATTGATCGTATGTGAGTCAGCAACTAACCGCGAACTGCGAAGCGACATGTAAACAACTTCAATATTAAAATGACTTAAATTTCATATGAAGTGCAAACGAAATTCAACTTTAAGACTATACAATAGAGTTGATATTAATAGAGAGTGTTAACGTTAACCTATAATGGAAATGTTACTCATCAGCTGAGCCAGTGTTGCCCGATAAAGATATTTAAATACCGTACGAATGACGACCGGTTGTGGGAGAATAAAAATATTACTGCCGTCTTTAAATTTTACTTGTATAAGCTAATAAATTGTATGTATTTTTCTCAATAACAGCTATGAATCTACAAAGAAGCAAGTAATACTTAGTAGATTTTTTTATTAAAACAATTAGTCAAATGATGTAAACAAAATAGTTGTTGCAAGATCACGTCTAAACTAGAAAAAATATTTTATTCTTTTCAATAAAGATAATAAAAAATCACTTTGAAACGTACAATGAACCGTAACAATCCATTTTTTTTATTTTGCATACAGAAGATCGTAAGCATCTGTTAAAAATCAATAATTAATAGATAACGGCAGAAAAAAATTAAATTCCCCTTTTAGTGTTTAAATTAATACGTATGGCAACATTTACTTTTATTTATGAATAAGATGTTACAAGAAATTGTTATTCCAAGTGTTCCAAGTACGGCTGTAGGTCATGTACAACGAAGTTATTTCTGTCCGTTGCTAATGGTAATATGCGATTAACAAAAATTACAACAAGCTTGATGAGGAAAAATTTATTTCTATAAAAAAATCTGCATCTAGTACTAATGCAAAAGTTAAGAGCGTGAGCACTTGACTATACTATCGCAAAACAGTTGTGCGAATGTCGATTGTTTCGCAGCCAATTCAACTATTTAGTTGCACTAAAAGTCGAGTATAAGCGACCCTTCATATAACCTCATAGGAATCAAAGCGAGACACAGTTGTGCGTAGTTTAGTCAAATGTGTGTGCTCTAAATATTTTCAATATAGACAAACTGATTCTTTTGATTATTTTGTAATTAAATACGTTAATATACTAATCAGAAGTACATATGTTAAAACTGACCTCCGAATACTGCAACGAACCTTAAACACTTCGCTTCACAGATTATAATGAAAATAAAAATTGAATTTAGAGTTTACACTTGGCCTTATCATTTAAAAATGTTACATATTTAAATGTCGTTGCAGTATACGGCCATTTAAGTATTTTGAACATTATGTTTTCTTTTTATTTAGTTTGTTTTTCGTTCTAATGGGATTGGACAAAGTATCTTAAAAGGATATATGTTAATTCGTCGCCGTACATCTGATGACCATCTACATCTCGTAAATCTTACTCCCACAGATTAAATAAAGTTTTATTAGTCTGTAGTTGAAACACTGTTTTAGTAAAAACAATTTAAAAAGGTAGAAAAAACAGCAAGACAACGAATTTGTCCAATTATCTAACATGAAAGAATTCCTTAAAAATATAAAAAATGTATTCCGCTATATTGTGTTTTAATTTGCGAGTAATGTTTTTGATTACTTCACAATGCTGACATATTTCGTAACACATAATTGTAATGGCGGCAAAAAGTCGACTCCCGTTGCCGCCATTTTTGGAACATCTACATACAATAGTGAGGCAAAGGTTGTGCTGCACGTAGAGCCAACAATTCCGTATACAATATTTTAATCAGTAATTTTGATTTTATATATTTTTTTTAATATCAAGTAAATATACTATTGTAAAACGTTTCACTTTACCCTACGTAAATTTATTTTTAAGGTTAAATCTTGGCATCATAGATTACTTTTTTTTTACAGAAAAACATGGCTTTAATATATAAATAATGTAGTTATTATATTAATTAAAAATGAAAGTAGCCAAATTAACCAATAACTGTCAAATTACTATACAACAGTTACATTCTTTAAAAAAAATGTAGCCCCAAACAAAAAGGTCTTAAGCGGAAGGATAAAATATACAACTGGCAACGATCCTGTAATTCATAATTTAAAAAAATAATTCTCACAAGCAATAATACTCATTATCACTTAGAAGTAGAGCTTAGAATTGTATTCAGAATTTCGTTTTAACATAACAGCTTGTGTTACAGAGTGTATGAGCAAGTTGCCGCAAAAGGCGTAGAAATCAGCAAGCAATTGAGGTTGTTGCCGTATACAGAAATGTTTAAATGTGAAACCGAATATATGC